GAACGGCAGGAAACTTTCTGGCTCTTGGAGAAGATGAAAAGACAAAAACCATGTGTCACACACACACACACACACACACACAGTCACTCTGAAATGGTACAATGACTACTACACTTATCCTCCTCCCTGCACCCCCCCCCCCCAGCTTTAATGATCTTCAGATATACTCTACTCCATGGTCAAAAACATGCAGTCACTTGACTTGTTAAAGCTGCAGTGTATGTACATTTTTCAAATAAACCCCAGGGCTGATGTTAGAAAATCAAAATCAGTCAAGCATAGACCGCCTGGTACTTTGGGCAGGAATCCTTGCGGTTTAGTCAATAAACAGAATCTGAATGAAAGACACCACAGTAACTAGACAGTAACGTTTTGAACACTTCTTAACCTGAAAGAGGGGATTGGGGGTTGGTGCCCTGGTGACCAAGAATGGAAGGGTACCAGTCCACTTAGGTCATCCTACCTGTGACATAACTCTGGCACAAGTTCATCATCGCACGCACACACACACACACACACACATACACACGAGGGGGTGAACTTACAACTTGGGTGGATGATGAAGATGGATTTGGGGAGAGAACAGATTTTGCTTCTTAAGCAGTAATTATACATATTTTAATAAGGTAGTCAGAGAAACCTCAGATTCTGTTTAGAACATAATGGTGTTAACAATATAGAGAATTTGCCGGCTTTGTTACAAGTTCATAAAAATGACCAGCTTTGCCCCAGTAGGTTTATCATGTAATAAAAAGTTTTCAAAGACCCTACACAAAATTAGTATGTTAATTAACTTCTTCAAAATCACAGGAAATTAAATGTATTCATGGTGATCGATAGACTTCAACGGGCAGCTCTTGGTTCACTCTTTCGTTGTGTTTAACTAGCAGCGGCCGCCAAGCTGGTCTCTGTGATTCCTTACGTGAATGCTGCAGGTTGTTTAATAACCTGGCAAATTCACAGTAGCTTGTCAAATTATTACAGGAACAGTGTCATCACTAAACAAGCCTGATCACGGTTAATTACAATGCAGACCAGAGAGCAGCCACAATTGTTCATTAATTACAGGAAGCACCTCATTTAAATTTTATGGAAATTTACACTTGCACCCCGGTATGTCTGGAAAAAAAAGTGAACCTTCATGCATTCACAGAAGCAAAGAGTCGGTGGTTTATGAAACATCACAGTAAACTGTGTCTAATATGGCACTGAAATATTGGTTCATTATTTACTCTAATTTTCTAAGCACTTCAATGGTGAAAAATATCAAGTCAGACCTCACAGTGTGGACTCCCAACCAAGAAAAAGAAGTGTACTGAGTGAAATGTAGCAACTTAATACAGAGGAGACACAGGCTAAGAAATGCACCACTTCTCTGATTAAAAATAAAATATTCACCAGCAATTAAGGGAAATCTCAATTAGAATAACCATTTCCTAGAAGGTAATTGTTTAAGAATATTTTGCAATTCTTTGCTGCTATATGTCAGCGAACCTCCCCAGCTAAAGAGTACCCGCTTTCATACTACTTCAAAAGCTACTCAGGAAAATAGAGAGTGAATCAAAGTCTTGAGTTCCAGCTATTATTCTAAATCAGGTGTATTAACACGAAAATATGACAGATGCCCTTGTAAAAGTCAAGTTCAACATAGACTTAAAGGATGACAGTCACTCAAAGATTCATCCATCCATGGAAGAGTACTGGGGATCTTTTAACTATTAAATCATAAAGTTTCTAAGGAATCTGAAATGTAAGGGTTAAAAGACAAGGGTTCAAAATGAACTTGGGAGCAGGAAGGGGTTCTACCAGTTGCAAGAACATATCAGCAAAAAAACCAAAGTAAACCAGGTAAGAGCACGTGTGTCTAAAGAAAAATCCTCGTTTAAAAAAAGAATACAAACAAATCATGGCTCCTGAACCAGAGTGTAGAGGAGGCTACTCTTAGAACCAGAGAGACCAAAGAGCAAATCCTCTAGTGGTCAAATGCCTGTCCCTGGGGGAAAGCTGGCAGGATGGTGCATGGCCCTGGCAAGTCCTGGTGTGAGTTCCTACAGCACAGAGCTGAACTAAAAAGTAAAAAAATGGCTTAACCCCTAGTGCATGCAAGTGTGCATACACACTGACACACACACTGAGCAGGATAAATGCCATAGCAAGAATGAAAACAGTTTAAGCTTAAAAAAAACACCACTCCTGGAATTATTAGCTGGTTAAGAATATATTAGGTGTCAAGTTTATTATGACTGACATAATAGGGGTATGTACTAGTGTTTCTAAAATGTATAGGAGTCATATTTAGGAAGGAAGAAGAAAAACAGAAAGAGAGGAAGAAACATTTTAAGTGGATTCCAGTTAATTACCAATTCACCATAGCTGACAATTTTTAAAATTTTTATTTATTTGAAAGGTGGAGGGGGGGAGGAGGGAGGGAGGCAGACTTGTTGGTTGCTTTTCCATCTACTGGTTCACTTGCCAAATACCCACAACAGCTGGGCCCATGCCAGGCAGAAGCTAGGAGCCAATAACTCAAACTCAAACTGTGTCTCCTACATGGGTGGCAGGGACCCAACTACTTGAAGCACCACCTGCTGCCTCCCATGGTGCACATTAGCAAGATACTGGAATTGGAAGTGGAGACAATACTTGAACAAGACACTCCAATACAGGATGCGGGCATCTTAACCATCATGCCGAATGCCTGCCCCAGCTGATGATCTTTTAACAGCTTCAATCTTTCTACTCAGTGCACCACAATGGTGCTACAAGATGAGGTATCCAATGTATACTTTCATTATTTTGGCCAGGAACTTGCTCCATGTTAAACTGTCAATATCACCCTCTATTGACTTAACAACCAGAGTTTCACTGAAACTTGTAAATATACATTTTTATCCTTTGGTAAGTCAAAATAATGTGTTTCATGGGTCTTTCACAGTTTTATTTCACACACTAACATCTGTAAAACCACTTCTTGTTGCATTGTAACACAAGGTTTAAACATAGATCAGCCAACAATCACCCAGAACCTAACAACCTAACAACCGTTCCAGGCAATGTGCTTGAAGAACATCATTTGCCCTACCCAAAGAAGCCTCTGGTATAAAAACTCTTCCATCACGGCATTTATGTGTCACATGCAAGCTGTTAGCTTTCTACAACCAGGAAATCCATGATCATGGCTCATGTGTGTCACACCTGCTTCTCTGTTCTATCACAGCCATCCACCACCCAGACAGTATATCAGCTTGGGGCACAGCAGTGTGCAGGTGGTCTTCCCTAGGCCAAGAGCAGGTGTGCAAGAGATGCTGTACCCTTCAGCACCATAAAAATGGAAACCTCCCCCAACGGCCTCTTCCCACTGTGAAGAAGTCAATTTTTAAAACTGTTCTTTCTCTTCTCACACGGGTATCTAAATCAGTAAAAATGGTTTAAAACAGAGCTCGATCTACTCATCCCATAAGCCTGAAAATTTCAAAAATGATGCCAAATGGAGGTCCTAAAAACACAAAATTAAGAGTTTACTCATGCCAAGGAATGTCATCCATACTGAAAAGTCAGCCTCTTTCTTTGTATCAGCATACACACCCCTTAAATAGTAAAAGGTGGCCGGCGCTGCGGCTTACTAGGCTAATCCTCCGCCTAGCGGCGCCGGCACACCGGGTTCTAGTCCCGGTCAGGGCGCCGGATTCTGTCCCGGTTGCCCCTCTTCCAGGCTAGCTCTCTGCTGTGGCCCGGGAGTGCAGTGGAGGATGGCCCAAGTGCTTAGGCCCTGCACCCCATGGGAGACCAGGATAAGTACCTGGCTCCTGCCATTGGATCAGCGCGGTGCGCCAGCTGCAGTGCGCCAGCCGCGGCGGCCATTGGAGGGTGAACCAATGGCAAAAGGAAGACCTTTCTCTCTGTCTCTCTCTCTCTCACTGTCCACTCTGCCTGTCAAAAAATTTTTAAAAAAAGAAAAAAATAGTAAAAGGTAAATGGGCAGCTGGCCTCCTGGCACAGGCTGCTGTTTGTGACACCAACATCCTTACTGGAGCAATGGTTCAAGTCCCAGCTGCTCCACTTCCAATTCAGCTCCCCATAAATGTACTTGGAAAAACAGCAGGTGATGGTCCAAGGACTGGAGCCCCTGTTTCCCATGTGAAAGACCAAGAAGGAGTTCCAGGCTCCTGGCTTCTGCCTGGCCCAGACCTGGTTGTTTTTGGAGAGTGAACCAGCAGATGGCAGGTTGATCCCTCATTCTCACTTGCTCCCTCCTCTCTATTGCTCTACCTTTCAAATAAATAGATATTTTTCAAAAATAAATAAAAGGTAAATAGAAAGGGAAACATATCTGTAGCCAAGAGATCATATCCATGTTTTTGTTATACATAAAACTGCTTTTAATGCCTCAAGACCACACAAAATGAAGTAGAGTCCAAGCCAACACTTCTACAAAAAATTGTACTTTGCAACAAGTCTCCCATGCTTATCGTTAAATTCTCTTTTCTTTTAAAGCCTCCCATTGGATAGCTGCTGTTCTCCTGAGCTTGGAGACCACAACACAGGAAGCACGACTTACTCCTAACTGATGCCCTTGTTAGCAAAGGGTAATGAAGACTTTAAAGCTGGTATTTAGTATGTGCCTGTTCTGTGCCAGGCCCTGTGCTAACGCCTGAATACAATCAATTTTTTTTTTTTTTATAAATCTCCGTTTCAGAGACAAGAAAGCAAGAGTTATTTAGTTACATCAAAAAGGTCCCCCATTGTATCAATCCAGGGAGTCAATCTTTGGAGACCCCGTCTTGGCTATCACAGTATATATTTCTTGAATGAATAAAACAATCTCTAGTTGCAGACAAATCATCCTGAAAAAGACCTTTTGCTGCACATGTGTGACACTGGTGCCTCCTTTGCACCTGCCACAATGATTGTTCCTAAAGGTACTGACACACCAGCATGGCCTTCAGGCACTACTGTGTCTGCCACACCACCCACAGCTGATAAAACAATAAGACTCCAACCTGGACTTCCAGCCTCTGGTCTGGCTCCTCCAGGTTTGGGCAAAAGTCTGCACCCAGCACTCTGCCAGCACATGCCAGTGGAACCTGAGGGAACACGGCCAGGTTAGAAGCTGGGTTTGAAGGCTGATAAGAACCACACAGTCACATTTGACCCAGGCAGAAGCAGGGGCCTCCCAACTGCAGTTCTGATGCAGGCCATTGTGGCTTGACACGAGTGTCAAATACATTGTAAATATATTTACAAACAAAGTTTATTGACCACCAAAAGGTAACTTCCAAGAAGAAGAGATCCACATATATCTGTTCCCTCTTGTGCCTAAAGCATGTAGCACAGAGTAGGCATTTACTAAGTATTTTTTGACAGAATGGGAGGGGGGTGAGAAGTGGGGGGTGGGAAGGCAGAAACAATGGAAGGGAGGAAATGAGTGAAGAGGAAAAGACTAGCTCTGCTAGATGTTGTTCACACATTTTTTCCTTTAATTTTTACCTGCAGAAATTAAGAAAACTGCATTCAATGATGCCTGAAATTTTTCCAAATATATTTTTCCTGTTCTTTTGTAGGCTAGCACAGTGTAAGGGCTGGAGCAGGGAGCTGGTAACTCAATCCAGGCCTCCCACATGGGTGGCAAGAACCAATCACTTGAGCCATCACCACTGCTTCCTAGGGTCTTCATTGGCAGGAAACTGGAGCAGGAAACCAAAGCTTGAACTTGAACTCAAGCACTCTAATGTAAGATGCAGGCGTCTCAACCAGTACCTTTCTTTCTTTAATTAATTAATTTATTTGAAAGGCAGAGTTACAGAGAGGGAGAGGGAGAGGAACAGACGGAGGAACAGAGGGAGGGAGAGAGGGAAAGGAAGAGAAAGAGAGAGAGAGAGATCTTCCATCCTTTGATTTACTCCTCAAATGGCCACAACAGCTAGACCTCTGATGATCTGAAGCCAGGATCATGGAGCTTCTTCCGGTCTACTACACGGATGTAGGGATCCAAGGACTTGGGCCATCTTCCATTACTTTCCCAGGCCATAGCAGAGAGCAGGATTGGAAGTAGAGCAGCCAGGACTCAAACTAGCACCCATATAGGATGCTGGCACTGCAGGTGGTGGCTTTACCCACCATGCCACAACACCAGCACCTCAATCAGTGTCTTAACCATGAGGCAAATGCTCATCCCAAGAATGCTGTTTTATAAGTCTGTTCTAATTTTAAAAAATAAAAAGCAGCTGTAATTTAATGAATGTTTTTCTACATCTAGAATTCTACTCTGAATGCCACTATGATTCCCTTTCCTTCTTTTTTTCTTTTGTTAAAGATTTATTTATTTAAAAGGCAGAGTTACAGAGAGAGAGGGAGAGACAGAGAGACAATGAGATCTTCCATATGCTGGTCCACTCCCCAAATGGCTTCAATAGCTGGAGCTGGGCTGGTCCAAGGCCAAGAGTCAGGAGCTTCTTCTGGGTCTCCCATGTGGTTACAGGGTCCCAAGGTTTTGGGTCATCCTCTGCAGCCTTCCCAGGCACATTAGCAGGGAGTTGGATGGGAAGTAGAGCAGCTGCAACTTGAACTGGAGCCCAAATGGGATGCCGGCGTTGCAGTCTTTACCTGATATGCCACAACTCTGGCCTCCTAAGATTTCCTTTCAAAACCAAGTTATAGGGCTGGTGCTCTGGCGTGGCAGGTAAAGCTGCCACTTGCAGTGCTGACATCACATATGGGCACCAGTTCGAGTCCTGGATGTTCTACTTCTGATTCAGCTCTCTACTATGGCCTGGGAAGGAAGTAGAAGATGGCCCGAGTCCTTGGGCTCTTGCAGCTGCGTGAGAGACCAGGAAGAAGCTCCTGGCTTTGGATCAGCACAACTTTAACCATTGTGGCCAATTGGGGAGTGAAACAGCAGATGGAAGACCTCTCTCTCTGCCTCTCTTTCTCTCTGTGTGTAACTCTGCCGTTCAAATAAATAAATAAATCTTCCCTCCCAAAAAAAACCACAAGTTATATACTACAATTGGTCAATATCATCCCTAAACATTGCCCACTACTTGCATATTTCATTTCAAATTTTAAAATAAATTAAAAAGGATCTACATTCCATCAAAACATATTCTTTTAATTAAAAAATCTAAATATTATTTCCCAGTACATTATATCTTCATAATCATATATCTATTCCATAAGTACAAGAATCTTAGTACTGTACATCAACTAAGCTTCATCACATCTGTCCTTTTCTTTCCCTATTAAAATATTCCTTTGGTATTTCTTTTCAGTTGACTTTTAAAATTCCAATTAAGAACATCTGTGCTAATCCATTCTCTTTGTTCAGAGATCAGCTTTCAGCCAAGCATGTAGCCTTAGAAGGTGTTTTACCTCTTTCTTTTGACCCACAAATTAGTTCAACTTTCCAAACTTAAACAAATTTCAATAAACTCTACTTTGCAGGTTCACAAATGAGTTTCAATAATATAAAAGGGCACTGAGTCAACTCTTCAAACATTTTTGGGCCCAACTCTTTCATTCTTTTCAATTTTCCTATTCTTTCTTCCCTCCTTTGTCCATAAGGTGGAATGGAGAGAATATCATCTGTCATAGAAGTTGATAACCATAGGGCCAGTACTGTAATGTAGGGAGTTAAGCCTCCATGTGCACTGCCAGCATCCTGAATGCTCTACTTCCAATCCATGTCCCTGCTGATGTGCCTAGCAAAGCAGCAGAGGAGGATGGCCCAATATGTGGGCCCCTGCACCCACGTGGGAAAAGCAGAAGAAGCTCCTGGCTTTGGATCAGCAAAGCTCTGGCCATTGCAGTCATCTGGGGAGTGAACCAGCAGATGGAAGACCTCTCTCTCTTTCTCCCCCTCTCTCTCTTTCTGCCTCTGCTTCTCTGCAATTCTGCCTTTCAAATAAATAAATAAATCTTTTTAAAAAATTGAGGAGCGAGAAGAGTAGAGACACTGCACATTTTGTTGTATCACACACAGGAATAATGCTGGTTCCAGCTCTCAGCTGACAGATGGAGGGGCACTAATGAGTTCTGCTGCAATCATTCTCCCGGGGGAGCAATACAGGCAAGGGGGAGAAAAATCAATCTTAGAATATTCCATATCAAAAGGAAACTCCCCAAAACAGCTTCCTATAAACCCTCAATAAATGTGACTACTTCAATGAAAGGTAAGATTCCATAAGCCAGCATGTTACATTGCACATTCAGTGTAAACAATACCACAGTTTATGTGCACAAAACAGATTCCTACTTACCTTAATAGCATTTGGCTATGTCACAAATACTAAGTTTTTCATTCCTTTTTATCCTCACAGTCACAGAATGCACTTTATAAACACTCTCAAGAGGAAAGGAGAAAGTTAAACAACTACAATTACATTCAATTACAACTTCAGACACTGAGAAACACACAGCTTCTGCAAGAAAACAAAAAGGTCTGTGTAAGTTTGGAGGAAGCGGTGGCAAGCCACCGGTATGTCCCAACAATCCAAATTGCAAAAGGAACAAGCAGGGAAGTGGATGGTGTTCTCAAGTTTAGAGTCTGAGATTGTCTGAATGGAAAAACATCCAAAAGAATCCATGAAAGTGGGCTCTCATATTTTTAAGGGTAGGAAATTGAGATACAAACTAAAAAGTGCATATTGAACTGAGAGTATACTGACAATCCTCACCCCCAACCCCATCCGCCACAATTGTGTCATCAATGATCAGATAGGGACATTGCTTAAAAAGAAAAGGCAAGCCATATCTCCTCCCTAATTCACATACCAAGGAAAACGCAAAGGATAAAAAAGCTGATAATTAGTTGAAATTTGGCACATCTCAGTCCACCTTTTAACTGAGAAGCCTCTGAAGTAAGCCAGCTATCTATAACTGATCAAATGACTGACAGAAGCGGCAGACATAACTGTCTTAACTCCTTATTGTAACTCCATTGTAAGTTAACCTAATAAAATTTGGAATGTACCTAACCACTGTTTGTCATATAAATTTTACACTGATTGGAGGAATCCCATTTTATCCACTTTGCTTCATCCTGGCACTTAGTGTCTGATTCAATGCCATACTCTAAGACACAGTTCTTCAGCGATTTGCACAAAATGTTCACAGCAATTAAGGCTATGGGAACTTTTTACTTTGACTCCTTTTGCATCTTTGGACATTTTGCTTTCAAAGCAATAAAAGAATCATGAAAGCTAAAAACAAAGACAAATACTGAATGGATCAGCTAGTATTTCTCAGCCGTCTGCCACAGGTTTAATTCTGGGCAGATAATAGTCCAGAACTGATCTAACTTTCACTCTGCTGGTGCTGCAGCAGGAAGCCTGGGCCTTGAAAGGGACATGCTGCAGTCCCTCGAGTACAATCTACTCTCCTGTCCATACCTCAGAGGAATCATGGTGTGTGAGAAATCTATTTACAACTTACTTTGTGTATAATCAGCAGAAACAAAAGATATGACAACCAGCATAAAGGCTTCTTGCTCTCCTCCCGGGAGAGTTCAGCAAGGGAGGGCCAGTGGGCATTCACTTCGGTGTCAAAAGGGCTTCCAGAAAACACATCTTCTGTGGGGCAGAGAGGAAGTGCGGCAGGCTTCCCACACACATAGACACACACAGGCACACACTCACACATACACTCATTCTTTGTTTGCTGACAATGCATATGAAAACTGTTAGGGAACAGTTTTCTGAACAGAAGACAGAAAAAGCCCCACACAGTAAACAGCAAGTACTACTCAAAATACGTGAATTTGAATAGGAGTGGGAGGCGGGCGAAAGGAAAGGGACACAAAGAAAGGGAAAATGATTACTTAGGAAAAGAAGCAAGTTACCAAGAAAAGGGATCCTGGAGTCAGGGAATGCTTCCTAGCCAGCCAGGGTCTGAGAGGAACTCAATTTCACTTTTAAACACTAAACAGTTGGGTACACGCCTGCCTGACAGGCACCATGAAAGCCACAGCCTGACTTCCACGTCAGTTCAAGGCTCTTCCATTTAGCCGGCGACAGACCTAGCTCAGTTCTGAAGCACTACATGTGTGTTGGTAGCTAAAGTCAGGCTGTGTGGAAAGGGTGAGGGAAGT